TGGTGATCTAGGGACTGTTGTTTATTATTTAAGTAGACAAGAATTGTAAAAATATTTTCATAAATAAACTGCTGTGTATCTATATTTTTTAATGATATCAACGGGACGGACAAGTTGTACGTCTAGTGATAAGCCACACGCCTAACCATACTGCGGTCTTTGCCGTAACTAATGCATTTGCATTTTTGTAACTTTTAACAAATTGGCACCTATACAAATCGCACATCGCAGCTAACACAGTATTATATGAAAAATAGCGTTATATTTTGTCACATAAATAGTAGTATAATTAAGTATGTCATTCGTATACGACTTAACAGTGTTGTTCTGTAACTTTAAAATATTAAATCGTTTACGATCAAATTATGTTACATACATTCCTCAACTTGACATTTAGCGAAATCATCGATCAACTTCGATTAAAGAAGAAGAAGATAAATATAATATAATGCAATTTTTGACATAATACTATGTCAGTTGTCATGTGCGAAATGTCAATTAAGCTGATTTTGTTTAAGGCTCAACTCACACTGACGCAGAGTCGAAGCGTCGCGACGCGTCATATTTTTCGCCTAAAGCATGCTCATCTCTATTTTCCTACTATTAAGGTACAAATTTGTGTGACGAATATATGCAGACGCCCGCCTTCGCGCGTCGACGCTTGGTGAAAGTCGAGTCGAGATCACATCAGACATAGCACAGTGCCGAACTGCGACGAGACGAGTGCGCGACAATGGATGAAGACGCAAAATTAATTTACTTAATCCAAAAATATGCATGTCTATATAACGTAATAATCATAAAAATATCTTAAGTCCCGGCTTAAATCGTTACTACAAAGTGTTTTGAATTGGACAAGTAAACGTTTTTTCTTCCACAAATCGTGAACCCAAAATTTCCGTTTTCTTATTCTAACAATAAAACTAAAACCAAATAAGATATAAAACTGAAGGTTTAAAGGGTTCGTCAAGGGAAGTACTGTCACTTTACTTATTTCTGCCACCAAGTACTAATGTGACCATCATTGCGTTCCGATTTTGAAGGGTAAGATTGCTGGTGATATTACAGGCACATGGGACTTGTCAACTTATATCTCAGGGTGTGACCCATCCTTAGTTAGAGTAAAAGAAAGGCTCAGTCCACATAAATTTATTAGAAGAGAAAAAGAAAGGCAGACAAAATAATAGAATGATATAAAAAAGGTACGAGTACAACAATATAAAACTCTCCCAACTAGTACTAAACAGTTGAATGTCCAGGTACTTACCCCAACAGGGCCTATATGCGTATATATTTTATAATCTAATGGCTGGAGTTGGGGTTTAACATGATGATGATAAATAGGCACGTGCTGTAGCTTCGAGAATTTTGGTGAGAGAGATGACGGAACGAGCCAACGTAAGAATAATGAAGGAAAAGGAATTCGAGAACAATTCAAAATTTAAAAAATAAGTGGCCTGGTTGTAAAGACAGTAATAAAAAGGTGGGACGGGCGCAGTGAGAGTCCCCTCAGTTCTTTGCGATTTAAAGCTCTGAGTGGCACTGCAACTGTTATGGACAGGCGTGTCACTTTCCACCAGGCGCACGACTTGTTCGTCCCGTCACTTGGTATAATAAAAAAAAACTCGCCGCCACAGGGATTCAAACTGTCAACATCTCAATTGAAAAGCTATCGTTCACCCGCTGGGCTACCGCGGGTTTTATAATCCATTTCTACTTGATTAATTACCATAATGTTTTGCGTTTTTTATTTTATATGAGTTATGTCGTTTTTCTTCAGGTGGCAGTAAATTCTTTAATATGTTTATAAACACTACAGAACATCAGCGACTAAGTAACTCCAGAGTCTGACTAACTGAATCATATTTGTTCTAATAACTTGCATTGTCTGTTTTTATTGTGTTATAAGTCAAATAAAGCAATTTAGATTTTTAATTTTGATAATGAATTGTATATTATTCTCACTATCGGCTTAAGCTTGGGAGTTTAAGGGGGTCATTTCCAAAACTGGTATTTACAAATGTGTAATATGATTTTACATTTTGAACTACATACATGGTGTTGATTACGCTATAAATTACATTAGGTTAATTAAATTTTTATTGAATTGATATTCAATTATTTTTTGTGAATTTACTCCACTAGTTTGTTATAATTATTAATACAAAGATCGAACACTCAGAAAAAACACTCAGAAAAAATTCCTTCGATCCGGTCGGATTCGAACCGACGTCTTCTTGCATACCGTGCCAGACGCTATACAAACTAAGCCACGGAACGAAACATTAGGTTTTAATATTTATTGTTTTCAGAGTTTTAAGTGCATTTGACATAATGTTGTAAAACTTAAACTTAACTGAAACCAAAAATGGAATTTAAAACAGGACTTTTTAATTTGATTCAAAATAGGCTTGTAATGTTATCGGATTTCTGTTTTGTGTATACCCAAATTCCAGTCAATCAGAGAAATGGAAGTAAAATAAATATTCAATTTATGTCTGAGATCCGTACATTAACAGAGAAAAGTTCTGATTATCATTAAACATCCCTATAAAACCGCATTGATATCCAGTTCACTCCCAAACAGACCCACAGAAACACTAACAATGGTTTTAAACTTATAACTCCCTTCTTTTTGCTTGGGCGACAAAAATAGGCACAGTAATAATAAATCGGATGAAAAACTCACCAAAATCATTCAAAACGACCAGGCATATAGTCCTGAATACAAATACTCTAGAACATAGTTTCCCAAAGTGGTCACTACCCCCAGTGGGCGCTGAAGAGTCTTACGAGGGCGGTGGAGGCCTCAGAAACAATTGGGGGGTTGATGCTGTCCAGGGGGTGCTAATGTATTTGGAAAAAAATCTATATAAACTACACTACATTTCTTTTTCTTGTGATTTTTATTTAACACATAATAAAATAAAGTTAATACAAAAATACGTGTTTACAATTTTTTTGTTGTGGTGGCGAGCGTTGAATTTTTTTTTATCTTGCCTAAGTGGGCAGTGAGCCAAAAACTAAAAAGTGTAATAATATATGTATACAAATATTTACAATTTTCGGCGTTAATTTTCGGTTATTAATCGCTAATTAATGCTAACATTATTATTAAGATGTCTTTGAGTGGGCGACTTACACTATTTATTTGTATAAAAAACCGCTATATATCGTAGAAAAAGTCTGAACCTGGGTATAATATTGAGCAAGTTTATAATTTTCTCATTGTGATAAATAATATGGCTTAACTGCCTCCGTGGCCGAACGGTTACCATGCCGGACTGCCACGCAGAGGTCCTAGGTTCGATTCCCGGGCCAGGAGAAATATTTGTATGGCCTACATTTATTTCTCTCGTGAGTTTGGGTGTAATTTGTGTTTGTCTATGTATGTGTCCATGGCACCCGCGACACAGGGTTTCCCTAGTGCGGGGCTATGTTGAGTGTGTGCGTTATTATTAAAAAAAAAATATATATATATATATACATAATTAAGTTGATTTTCTGAGTTTTATAATGTAAGGTCATAACGGAAAAGTCGTCAAACGATGTATAAATTATTATTTAGGTATTTATTTATAAAGCATTAGCTTCTGAGCCATCAGCTTAATGGTAACAAATAATCAAGAAACGCACAACGTAATATACATAAACTAAAAATTATTTCGTGTAAAAAATTTAACTATTAAAACCCGCCATTTTTTCTACCAGAAGAAAAAAAAACTCAAACGATGTGTACAACTTTGCTTTTTGTAGTTCAAAAGTGATCTAAAATTGAACACAGCATTTACCTGATTGGCTCTTAGGTGATTGGACTAAAAAAAGCGCATTTAAAAAACGGCGTTTTGTTAATTATTTGTTACCGTTTTAAGATAATGGCTCTTTACCCAATGCTCAATAATACAGTATTTTTGGATTGAGTAGAATGGCGGCTTTTTTGTGGTCATGCTTTTTACATGATTTAGTTTTTATTTTAAGTTACATTTTGAGTGTCTTAATTATTTGTTTTCTTATGCGTACATTTAATAATACGAATAAATTAAGAGTAATCAGTGCAATAGATACTTTTTTTAAATGACTGTAATGCATGCAGTCAAAGCAATCGCAATCTTGTTCGTAGTTTTGACTTTGACTTTATTTTTTACATTTTTGCGAAGGCGTAGATACGTAGGACGGATGGCTAGTCTATTAGACGTTTATTTACCCATCCAATGACCACTAGATGTGATTCTGATGTAATTTATTACATTTCGTTTCTTGAGTTTAAAACTGCGGTCAGTTGTGGGTGTTGATACCATTTCTAGTTGTGTAGGTAGAGATTTTGTGTAAGATTCTATACATAGGGTCAATGAGCTCACATGAATACCAATTTGTATAAGAATACCAGGATATATTTGAAACCGCGAATGGTAATATTGTTATTTACTATTGTCATCACGAACATTTCCTTCCAAAGTCGCTCTTTCAGGCTCCTAAAATTACATGTAGAACTAAAAAAATCGAGTGATTATATTTTGCGAGAAATACGTCCACATGTGTGAATAAAATTGCCACTTACACATGACTGTGAACTCTACATTAACAGTACAATGTTTAACATAATTTTACTCTACAAACTCAGTCTTATCTCAAACGTTCATATCTCAGTTTTGAACGCCAGCAAAGTGAATTTACATGTCCACACGATTATACGAAACCCTACAGAAAGTTTGTATACTTACGTTATTCTTGTATTTGTACAAGTCTATGAATTTAAAATACTTGGTGTAAGTACATTTTAGCGTGATAGCTCTTTTTATTTTTTTTATATTTCCTCTTTCTTTAGGTTATTTTTTGTTAGCCTACAGTGTCCCACTACTGGGCAAAAGTCTCCCCCAAATTCCACCATTGCACCCTGTCTCATATTACCCCCTTTAAGCCAAAAACTAATTTAAGTTTTTTTTAAACAAGGATAAAAGATTAGGTGTAAGGTCCGAAAAAAGTAACAAAACACAACTCACCTTTAGAAAAAAAATCCAAAAAAACGTGTCGGCGTTCACACCTCTCTGTTTTCGTATTCACACCTTGGGGCCCAGATATTAATACCTTGGGGTCCTTAATCCATAGCATAGAACTAAAATCACGAATGCACCACTATTGTTATAGTTTAAAACTCAGCCACTAGTTTATTCACCTTTAACCACTTCTATTTACTTACAAAAAATAAAAGTTAATGTTTGAAAACTGTTAATAATTATTCGTACTAATTATTTTTATTTTTTACAAAGACTTCTAACAAGGACGAAAGCTAAAAATGTCTTTGCATAATTTATGTAATTCGAAAAATGAAACAAGTTTTCCCGCCAAATGTTTTTGCCGGCGCGCGAGGCTGACGTAAAGCGACGCGCGTCCAACCTCTAGCGAAGCCGGTTAGGCGCTGCTCGTTTTATTTTGAACTCAACGCGAGGCTTGGCATAGAAAAAAAAGGTTCCAAGTACTCATCTTGCTCAAAACAAACCCCCTTGACCCTCGCGGGGAGCGGTTTTGGATTATGGCTTGGCCTATCTCGTTTCATATGGAGTAGTACGATAGTAAGTGTGTTCTTTTATTTTTATATGCAGTGGTGAGGCGGGTTGTTGCATTGTGCATAGTTGGAACAATAAAGAAGTTCAATTTAAAGAAAATCAAACTATAACGTGTAAAAAAGTTTATTTCATCACAAATCCAAACCATTTTCTCTTAAAAATACGTTCAGCTGTTTTTTCTCCCACATATGCTGCCGTGATTTATAGATTTTATATTTTGTGTATATCTTTATACTTTTGAAACTTCACACAATCATCACAATTGTTTCAATTTGATCCTTCAGTTTTTATCGATATTTGAAAAAGGCTTAGAACGTATCATTTTGTATTTTTCTCGTATTTTGTAGTAGTAGTCCATTTTGCTACACGACTTTATTAAACTCTAGGGCGTTTAACATCTAAAAAGAAAATAAATAATGTTATAATTGATGAAAGTCATAAACTGTAGAGATCAATATTAATAAAAACGTATAACGATTAGAAATGAATGACACAATTTTATTTTCGGATTTAAATCGTGTATATACCGAGCCATTTACCGATCCCATGGTCTTGACTAACTCTATATTTTCTACATTATGTTCACCGTGACCGTGGGATCTGTAAACGACCCCAAAACTTGATTCGTATGTAAAACAAAATAATACACATACATATACGAGATTTGCCTTTTATATTTCGGAATTTGGCCTAAATTTTGCGATCTGGCAATCCACGTCTCTATCGTATAGGTTGACATTTTTGGCGTCAAACGTATCCAAAACATTTTGTCATTCCAGAATTATTTGTGTCGTTTAAAATAATTTGAAAAATAAATCTCGGTCGAAAAATGGAATTAAGCCGTGAACATTTTCGTACGACTCTTTTTTACAACTTTCGACGTGGATTAACTCAATTCGACTGCATTGATGAACTTAATTCGTATTTTAACGATGAAGCTTCATCAAGAGCTGGTGTATATTATCGATAGCTTTCGTAATTCAATCGAGGCCGTAGTTCAAAGACGATTTTCGTGAAGAACGTCCAAAATCGGATGTCATACCGGAAAACATTGATGCTTTGCGAGAACAGATACTGCAACATCGTCATGTGACCTATCGTGAGTTTGAGACATCCTTGGGCATTACTAGCATTCATTCAATATTGCATAACCATTTGGTCATCAAAAAGATTTGCTTGCGTTAGATCCCACACAATTTGACAATCGCTCAAAACAAGGCTCACGTCGATAGGTCGAAATATATGCTAAAAAAAATACGATCACGGCGCTTCAAAATACATCATAACAGGTCACAATTCGACTGTATGGATGTAAGCCCAATCCAACGAAAGCTGCTTGAATGAAACAGTTGCCTGTTCTTTTTTGGGAAAGACTAGACATATCGCAATCTAATGGTATCATTAAAACAACGTAGCACGGTTAATTCGGAATGGTACGCAATCATTTGTTTGCCAGTTGTTAGTGAAGAAACAAGAAAGACCATTCAACGAAGACGGATCATTCTTTGCCACGACAATGCGAGCTCTCACACATCGGGTCAAACAAGTGAATTTCTGAGCACTTAAAACGTCGGTTTGATGGGTCACCTGCTAAATAATTCTGATTTGGGACCCAATGACTTTTTTATGCCAGCACATTAAAAAAAATTCGAGGTCTACATTTTTTGACACCCGAGAAGCGGATGATGCATTTAAAACGCATGTTTTGGAGGTACTTGAGTTAAGAGTGGGATAAGGATTTAGAAAATTGGTATAAATGCATACACATGGGTAACATTTTGATTGTTAT